ACTGGCTCAGATTCTTCCAAGATCTGATTAATATTATGTACAGCAGCAATGCTTTGGGTTAAGGATTAGGTCTGCAAAATTACATGTTTACCAAAGTGCAGCCTAAATTGTGTTCTCCACCAATATGGACACTTGACTGGTGTGTTTGAGGACATCCACCATGTTGTTCACAATGAATGTTGTATCTGGTTTCAATCCATTTTTACACTTCTGAGCAAATTTAACATAAAGCCTGAAGGCGGATTTCCAAGCTGAACTTCCTAGACAGTGGCTTTAGGAAGAATTAGAATCAGCACAGAAAAACCTCTACTTTATATCCTCTTCAGAGGATTTTACAAAGGAGAAAATAACAAGAAAAGGCAGTTAGGATGAACTAATATACTTTCTCCAACAAAACTGTGATGATTTGTGTTGCAGAACTGTGATGTTAATTACCTTTACAGCTTGTTTTATTAAATTACCTGGATAGCTTGTTTTATTGAGTGGATCAAGACAGAGGTGTGCACACCAATTAGACCCAGGACATATGATTATGAGAACTAATTGAGTCTCTTTGGTCCATTGGATACCATTTCTTATTACTGGCAAGATTTCTTGGACAATGCACAAAGAAAGTGTTTTAGCAACCAAGCTCAAAGTTATTTCTCTGAGTTAATAATACTTTTTAGTGACTGATTCTAGTTTTGTTCAGCTGGGAGACTCCTTGCATCTTTGTCCCAAAATTATGCCATGTTCGGAGATTAAATTTTTGGGTATACTTTATCTCGGCCTGTGTTACAGAAAATGCTCTTTAAATTGAGTACCTACAACTTTCTAAACCAAAAAGGAGTTAATGTGGCCCATAGTCTTTATTATTAGTTGAGCAGTAAGAATGAAAAACACCAAGGCCTTTTTTTTGTTCCACTGAATTGGCTGATGTCTGTGTCTCTGGAGTGCTGTAATAAAGGGGGACGTTTTTAGGGCACAAGTCACCAGATGGTGCTGTAACACACAGGTTTAGATTTTTTTTTTTTTTTTTACCAAGCAAGCACTGTTCAATTTGAGGAGAAATATTGTGGTGTTGGTTTTATGATACGTTTTCTATTCTGGAGAGCTCTTGCAGAAATTTGAAAAAAAAAAATTGCTCCTGTGTTTTCCCTTTGCCTACAGCAAATAGATGGGGTAGAACTGTTTTGTAGAAACTTGCCTTTAGTGTTGAGGGAAATATCTGAAAGGGAAAGATGCCCAAAGGCTATTTGTGATCCACATTGTAGTTGAATGACTTGGAAATCCCCAAAATCCCTGAGCTAACTCAGAGAAAGATTACAGTCTAGTCAAGGCACGATTCTATGATTCTGTGATAAGGCAGCATATTTTAGAGTTTGCAAAGACATTTGGGCATTCCCATTAAATCTCTAATGGTTGGAGTTTGAAATACTTTTCCAGGGTGCAGATGAAGTAATTGAAAAATTATCTAATTATGTTTACGTAATTTGCCCCATAGCCCCTGACTTCCCAAACTGGCCCATTGATGTGTTGCAGTAAAGCTCCTCAAGGATAATGACCCAAAGTACCCCCTAACACAAAATCACAATCATTTAGGTTGGAAAAGACCTTTAAGGTCATCAAGTCCAACCATTAAGCCAGCAGTGCCAAGCCCACCACTAACCCATGTACCCAAGTGCCACATCTACCTTTTTATTAAATCCCTTCTGAGACAGTGACTTCACAACTGTCCTGGGCAGCCTGTGCCAGTGCTTGACATCCCTTTTGGTGAAGAAATTTTTTCCTAATATCCAACATAAACCTCCCCTGGTGCTACTTGAGGCCATTTCTTCTTCTGCTATTGCTTGTTATCTGGGAGAAGAGATCAACTCCCAACTGGCTACAGCCTCCTGTCAGACAGTTGTAGAGTGTGATAAGCTCTGAGGAAACAATAATCATAAAGATGCTACTTAAAAAATATCTACTCTCTTCAGGTGTTTATTTCTCATAAAAAATTTAAGAAGATATTCAAGTTGTATCTACTGGGAAACTGATGTAGTAATTATTCAGGTTTCAATCTAAGAAGAAAATAATCTTTAGTAACATATTTCTCTCACAGAAGTAATTTGGAATTGCAGTGTTAATAAGAACTAGCAAAAATAACTGATCAGACTGTAAGTTCCTTCCTCAGTCTCCCATCTCACATACTTTATTTAGTGTCATGTATGCAGCTTGATGAAAAGCTAATTTGGAAACAAACATACAAAAAATCCTATGAGTAAAAAGAATATTGTTAACATTTGGAACAAAAATGAAAGATCTTCCTCCTTTATGTGAATTACTTCTATACCTGGAATGTGTGTTGCCTTTTTAAGTCCACAATAAGCCATCCCTATTTATATCAATTAGTTCCTTACTAACTTAAAATCCCATCAAAATCAAAGAGTTCATGTGGGGAATAAACTGCTACTGAAAATGAGGAAAGTTATGGGAACATGTCCCATCTGAATATAAAGCATATCAGTTTTCACTGACTTTCAACAGATTTAAACTAAGGAGTCAATATGCTAAACCTGTTAATTTTCTCATTGTTATTGAACACTTTCAGATGAACTGACAGAGAAGTTGCAGTTATTCTAAATGAGACTCAATGATTTCAATTCCTTCATGGAGGAAGGTACCTGACAGGTCCATCTCTTTAATCCGTACTTCTGGATCCCAGCAGTTCTCTTGAATAACTCTAAAAACCTTTCCGTCCTTCATCATCTTTGCCTGTCCCTGTGAAATGACATTTTCATATATTATGAATGTGACAAAGCAGTACATGCCAATTTATAGTTGCTTGAGTATATTGTGGTCCCTAGGGAAATTCAGTGACAAAATATTGTTCTTTTATTTTTGTGCAGTAGGTATTTTTAAACAAAGACTATTTTAAAAATAGACATTAATTAAACAATCATTTATAGTTCAGATTTAGTCTTCGTAATAAAAAAAATCCCCTTTCTATTGCAAGGTGTATCATTCTATATTTATATGGAAAAGATATCAGGTACCTTAATCCGAGTTTATCCTCAAACCAAATTTTGACCTCAAAACAGTGCTCTAATTAAATCTGTGCTAAATTTTCCCTTTGGGTGTGTATATGTTCCCTTAATAGCATCACAGTGATTCCAGTAACTACAGAAATAACTGTACAGCTCAGTTACTTTCAGTCCAGTTGTTTCATATCGCCATTGATAATGAGACAAAAGCAGACCTGTTATGTTGTCTTCAGGTTATGTTTTCTCCTTGGGAAAAAAAAGAATTATTGAAGAATTTGTGTTTGGGAAAAAAAACCCAAGCAAAACTTTATCACAGTATAAACCCATGACCTCAATTAGTGTAATACCTTTCCCATATGCCACCAATTCCCAAATGTATGAAGTTCAAGGTATTATCACAGTCATGAAATATAATATTGTTCCTTTATGAACATGGAAACCTTTTAAACTTCATTTTTTCGTTGATTTGTGAATTGTTCGAAGAGGTTGAGGATGTACAGTGTCATCACATTAAGCAAAACAAATTGTTAAGTTGGAGGTACCCACATGCTGTTATGAACATGGACAGACAGGCACACCAGGCTTTCTGCTGGCTGACACTTGCACAAATGGATGGGACACAACTCATCAACACTTGCAAGCCCTGAGTATTTCCCAGCTGTTTGAAGCTACTGTAGGGATAAGTGGGAAGGGATGAAAGCCAGAAGATCCACCTGGCGCTGTGCATTTGGGGTGGGTAAGTGAGGTCATGCAGCAGATGCATTGGACAGAGGAACACTCCACCTGCAGTTAAAAATTGAACATCACATGAGAAAACACGGCAGCTACTCCTTCACCTTGGCATTAAACAGCTCCGTGCAAGGCAGGCTCCTGACCCTTCAAGAAAGGGAATTCTCTCTCTCCAAAGGCCACTTTGTTTTTCCTCACAAAGTCGGTGTTATTTAGAATTGTCTATTTTTCTAAAGAAAAAACCCTGTTAAATCAGAACATCTGTTACTAGTACACCCAACCAGAGGGATTTCTGTCCCCTTCTGAGAAGTCAGACTGTTCTTAAGCTTGAATTTGTTACTAAGTTCACACATTGTTCACAGATACACTGTGATATAATATACAGATATAATGAGTATTTCAAAGCTCTCCTCAAAAAATCTAACTGTGCTGCCCTGGCAAACTGTAAAGTTACTTGTTACCTGTATCACAGGCTATGAAAATTACTTGAAATATCATACCTACAAAGTCCTGATTCTCCAGTAAAATACTTCAGACTCTTGTAAAATTGGTTTTCCAACCTGACGGAAAGGTTTACTCTGGCCATACACTCCAATTCATTAAGAAAAGTTTAGTGCATTGCTACAGGTTGTCTAATAAACAAAAAAACATTTGGGGTGTGAGAAAAAGGCAGAGTAGAACCAAGCATTGCACCACACATGAATAGATTGCATGGATTTTACTATTCTATTCTATTCTACACTACTGTACTCTATCCCATTCTAAACATTATTCAATATTTAATGCTTTAATTAATTTATGTGAAAAGTAAAAGAGACTTATTTCAGAATTAGGTCCAGCAGGCTGATTTGGTTCAGCAAACTACATTTAAATGATTCCATTGCTGAACTACTCAGCCACATTCCAAATTGTTCTTTTTTAAACATGCATGTAATTGTTTTCTTCCAGTTTGACTCTGATGCTTCTTCACAGAATGATATGAGAAGCCTTTGTTTGTTTGTTGTTGTTTGTTTGTTTGTTTTTGTTTTGTTTGTTTGTTTGTTTTTGTTTTTTAATCTTAAGAATTAAAGAAAATTATTAAATTATCTCCAGCTTTACATATCTGAGCAGGATTTTATTTCGCCATGCACTGCTTTTCATGTAAAATTTTCAGACAGAAGTGGGCTGGACAGAATTCTCTGCAGAGGGTATCAGGCTATTATTGACTTGCCACAAAGTTCCTCTGCTAACTATTTTTAGCACGGAATTTCACCATCAGACCTGTAACAAACAGCTAAGCTGCTAAAAATGTGTCCAAGCATTCTCTCCTTCCTGCAGCTCCCACATGTCTCAGGAGCTGTGCCATCCACAAGTTGGTTCTGCAGGTGGCTTGTTCTCCCCTACTGTGCCTGCTTACACTCAGATCTGAAATCTCAGCATAATATTTGTTTGCTCCTCATTCTTGGTTTCAACCTTCATATTCTGTGGTCCTTCTCCACACATGGTTGTTAGGTATTTTACAGCATAGCCTTGCATGTAATAGAAAGGCAAAAGTGTGTATAATGTTAGGTTGCAATAAATAGACATGGTGTTGTATCTATTTAATCAGGCTTTCTCTTTCTTTCTTTCTCTTTCTTTTTCTTTTTCTTTCTTTCTTTCTTTTTTTCTCTCTCTCTCTCTTCCTTTCTCTCTTTCTTTCTATTACCCAGCTAGTGTAAGCTTATATGCAATCACAATGAAGTAGGATTTTGCAAAGTGACAAGGGAATGAGGGAATATCTAGTTCCACTGAAATTACCAGGCATTATATACTTAAATACTTTGGTACCTGGAAGATGCCAGTCTTGCTTCCCTAAAGGTGAATTTCTATAGAGAATGAATGAATTGGTCAAACCACAAAAAGGAGCAATGAAGAAGATCGGATACTCTTTTCTTTATAAGGGTACTCCAATAGGGAGAGGCACTGTCACCCTGAAAATGCAAAGTAGTCAATCCTTCTGTCCCTTATCCCTCTAGTTTTCAGTATGGAATCCCTGTATTGAGAGAAGAATTTCAGAAGACAGTCAGAGATTGTGAGTTTCATCTCTCAAGAAAAAGGTTCTACTGAGGTATATTAGGACTTGCCCTGCTATTACTTCATAGAATACAGAGCTCTAGAGAAATCTGTATCAGAAACAGAACCAATCTTATTGCCACTTCACTTCTTAATAGATTTATTGTGGGTTTGTGTTCTTGAGGACAACACAAGATTAGCTTAGAGCACCAAACAGCCCAAACCTTGCAGTGATGATCCAGCTGTACCCATCCACCATATCCATATCTCTGTGGGAGAAAGAAGAAAAAGGCAGTGCTAGTTAGCACTCTGTAATCACAACAACAACAATTACTACTACTACTACTAGTACTATTATTATTATTTGCAGTTCTTACAATCCAGCAGTACCTCATTCAGGAGAAACACGTGGGCTCAACTTTGAGTCTGAGTAGCCCCACTGACTTGAGCAGAAGTGCTGAAGTTGAACCAGACCTGATTAATGCTGTTTGTATGTGCAATTTTAGCTGCCAGTTCAACAACATTTTTAAACAACTTATTCCAAAATGCTCAAAGTCGCTTACTATATTGAGACCCTAATTGGAATGATTTTAACAGAGAAAAAATTAAATTAAATATTTGGCAGTATGAGAATTGAGTTGACTACTTTGCAATCTGTGATCAGTTAATCATTAGCACAGAGACGCATCGATTCCACTTTTCAGCTTTCATGATTCAGCAGCAGGACTGAAGGTCAGCCTCTTGTCTATTAATATTTAAACAGCCAAGAGTAGCTAAAGAGGAGAAGCTTAGATGCTCATTGATTCTTCCAGAGAGATTCAAAATCGGTCATGCAAAATAGCAAAACCTACATATGAAGCTGATTTCCTCTTACTTTCATGAATTAGCAGATGAGAAATAAGTGAAATTTTCAAATATCAGACTGGAAACAATGCTCAGAATTCCTATTTTTTCCATAAAGAAACATTTAAAAGTAAAGTAAGTAAAAGCAGGCATTTCTTTCACTGAAATGTAAACAATTTGGATACAGTCCTGAATTTCCTGTGATACCAAATCATTACTTAATGCCACTGTGAATTTTCCTAGTGCAGGTGTGCAGAGCCAAGCCTGACTTCAGCCAGTCAGAGATTCTACAGACTGAGGCTATGTAAGTTTTATTTAGCTATGTTTAGCTATGCATATTTTATTTAAATTTATAAGGTTATATATAAAAATATTGAAACTTGGGGGAAATTTAGCTTAAACTAGCTCTGTGCTAATTCCAATTACAAGCTGTGCAGAAAACGAGTACCTTAAAGGTGCTGAAGGAGCACAAAGGCAATAAAGAAACTCACTGCTCTGTTTTTGAGCTTGTTTTCTTCTTTCTTCCCTGCAGTTACTAGCTGGGTGCATTGACAGTCCTTATTTCATTTTTTATACAAATTTTTGTACTTATGTTGGGTTCCTAAGCTGTTAAATATGTATCTTGACAATTGAATTTTCTAGGATGAAGGTTCAGTATTTATAAAGCTGGAAACAAGAAACAGAAGCTCAGCACTAAGTAAATGTGTGCATGTCAGGAGACTTCTTGGTTTTCCATGCATGAGATGTAGACATCTGTGTTAATGGCTTGAATTTTCAGAAGACTCCAGGGAATTCTGGGAGGTGTTTTCTGCTCTGGGCCCATTAATAAACCATTGAGTGGCTCAGAACAGAGGAACAAAAACTAGCAGATGGAAATTACCTTTTAAAAATTTGGTATTTGCTTCTTTATCTGTGCTTTAAGAAATGCAACACTGGCCTACAGTGTCTACCATGAGTGAATTCTTGATGTACATCTTGGAACATCAAGGGATTCTTGGGATCATTTCATCCCAGTGAATTTGTTGCCCTTTTAAAGTATATACAGAAAAAAAAATTTTAAAAATCCTTTAAAAATCATATAAAATCAGAATAAGGGCATTTTATAGGTGTTTTTATAAGACTATTGCACAAAGACAACAAAATCTGAAACAACCAAGAGTAATCTGTCTTGTAGTCTGTTTATTTAAACTCCTGTCCATTTAAAACAGACATAATTGTTCTAGAAAGGGTCTGTCCTCCCACCTGCATTATCAAGTGTATATGTGTTTTACGTCAGGAGCTCTTAGTATTACAAACAGGAGGTTCAAACAGATATTAATAAACACCTTCCTAGATAAACATGGAAACAAACATTCCTTTCCAGGAAGTTTTATGTATAATGGTGTTATTTTTTACTCCTGATGAGGAAGCAATCCTATGTATGTTTTTAATGCCAGATTTTCTCATAATTTTTTTTTTCTAATATGCTGTTAACATTTTCCAGCTGTTCTCTTGTCTAATATTGGCTGATGCTGGACTGTCATGATTAAAATCACAGAAACACAGCGCTGATAGATATGAAACCCTTTCAGATATACTACTTTAAAACATAAGTGACACTCTCTGTTCCTAAATACATTTCATGGGATCATGAAAATATGACTGACAAGAATAAATTTATGTCACTGAATAATAATAACAACAACAATAAAAAAATAATAATAATATGCAAAGATTCAAAATTAAGACAAATTGACATAGCTTCAGTGTTCTGACAACTGAGATTTTGTATTTTAAAAACAATATGCTACTTCCTTCCAGTAACTGAAAAAATAACAGAAATCATCATCATCATCAATTAACTGTACTTAGAGTGACCCCACTCCTATTGAAGTTAATGACTTTCATGCCTGGGGGTATAAGATGTGAATGATTTTTGTCTTAGTTAACATTAATCTTGCCTAATATTTGCTTATTTATTTAATTTAAAACAAACATGAATACTGTTTGGGAACAGAACATCTCCATTTTTATCAAGATAGTGGAATTTACACCTCATTATTTGACAATTTTAGGTCAAAAAACCCAAGGAAAATGGGAAGAATTGCTTCAGACTAAATAAAGAGTGGGGAACAGAGCCAGTATGACATCCCTTTCTTACTGAGACTCTTGCTTTGCAAAGTAATGCATACAAATATTTTACAACTGAAAAAAATCAAATTATACAAAATCCTAGAGATGTTAACCACAGAACCCTTCATTCATTTTTCTTTCAAAAATCACATGGGTAGAAATGGTTGCTGATCACATAAGGCATTGAATATCTAAACTCTTTTTACCTTTTTCAGGTCAGGCCATTCCTTAGGTAGAATGTGGCTATGAATATCAATTTTCATTTTGGAAGTATCACAGGAGAAGCACTCCTTGAATGATAATGTTTTCTGTGTGAATGCTACCGTCCTTCCTGTCCCTGGTTCACAGGTTATTAACTTTGGCTGCTGTCCAGATCCACCTGCTGCCTTACCAGGAAGGCTTGGTCCAGTGGCCAACCAGAAGGCCTAAATCCCAGAGGAGTGGCTCTCCAAAAGAACAAAGGCTTCTAGCAGAAAGTCCCTGTTAATACACAAACTACAGCTGACTGAGGGCAAAGGGAAAATACATATTTATATTGGCACTATGAAGGGATTTATTTTACACAGAAGCTAAAACGAAAATTTCTGGTTGAAAATCACTCAATAAAATTGAGTTAGAATAGATGTATTAAGCATGCTGACTTGAATTTCCTCTTTTCTGCCTCTCAGATCTGAAACTGTAGAGAACATATAATGCAAAGAATATGTAATATAACCCTGGTATAGACAGTCACACCTCCCCATGTACTCTCTTTTTTCTCCCCTTGCATTTTCTTTAAAGCTATGTAAGAAAACCCCCACAGAAATATTGAATTGTAGATAAATCTCTGCTCTGCACTTTATTTCCCCCTTCTCATTATTGGTTCTTGTAGGATATTTACACAAGCTCCTGCATAATGTCGCTCACAGCCTTTCAAGCTGGCTCAATATACAGCAATACATATATATAGCAAATATAGCAGTTTCTGTTTCCTAAGTTAACTGCAGCTATCTCAGATTTTCTGTGAAACTACATCTCCTCTTTTGCTCTTTACTCAATTTAGAATTACACTTCTTTCCTCGAGATACCCTTGCCCTTTATTTGTGCTGTGTTTTTCTCTGTTGTTTTACTTCCTTTAGAGTTTTATTTCAATGTATTCTACTCACACAGTGACCTCTTGTGAAAGCCGGATAACCATTTCCTGATTAATTTTTTTTTTTGTGAAAAATGCTGGTTTTTTTCCAAAACTAAATGCTCTTGTGAATCTTGCAACTTCAAATTAAGAAACGTGAAAAACAAGTGGTACATTTTGTTTCATCTGTTTTCTGACTTCACTATTTTGTTTGGGTTTGATTAAATAAAAATGGACTCTTGTATTTCCCTACTTGTTCACACATTAAGCAAATCTGTTTTTGATTTGGTCAGGTAAATTTCTTGGATTTATTCTTCAAATCAACTTCTTGTGACGGGGTTGGTTGGATGGGTTCTGCAGCAGGAATGACTGAGTGTTCAAAAGAGATGGGAAGCAGCAGCTTTGAGAGAGTATTTCCTAAATAAAGCAAGTCAGCCAAAAATTTACTTTAACAGATCAAATCCCTGAGATTGAAAATAGCAATTACTTCCATCTCAAAATCAAAATCAATGTCTTCATGACCAGGCTGCCAGGTTAAGCAGCAAATTTGCTCTCCTGCTCCCAAATGTGACAGCTCTGCTCTGTGATGTGGCACTACAGTGTCAGCCTGTTGACAAGCAATGTTCCTGCATGTACTACACCAGACATAAGAAAGAAGTATTGATTCAGCTGTGAGGACTCTGCATCATGAATCCACAGACGTGAGGCAGACAGCTAAGGTGAGTCCTTCAATAAAGAGATGTCTGGAAGACAATTCCCTATTTAAGCATAAAAACAGAGGTACTAGTGAAGGAGAGGGGCAGGAAGAGCTTTGTGCATCTGAATAGTATAAGACACCCAGTTTCTTAAGTCACCTTAGCTGCAGGATGCCATGTAGAGCTCAGCTGCATTTCTCCAACACTGTGTGTAGTTTTCCTCAGTTCTAAAGAAAGATGTAGTTGTTATTTACTGCTCCCAAGACACAGCTCAGCTTGCAAACAGTGTAGTACTCCCACATGGCATTTCATTTAGCAAAATAGAGCATTTGGAAACCATAGCAGTTGAAGGCAAATTTGTATCCATTTCACTTGATTCAAGGGATGGTAAGACATTTGTCTATATCCAACATGATCCATTGGATCTGCAACCGGAAGACCTTCAGTGGCTACGAACAAAACCATCTTCAGCTACACAAGCACCCAACCTACTCTGAGTGCAACAGTGTGGAAAACAGAACACCTTCACTGATGTTTTGGACAACCTGCCTGATCACAGTGAGTGACTTCTGCCTCTCAATCTTTATGCTGAACAACACAATGGCTTTTAGCACAGTCCTTGCTGTCTGTCTCCACCTGGTTGTGCATTTCTGGGGTGTGAGACAGAGGAGCAGGAATTGCTGGCAGTAGCCAGGAGAACGTGCAGCTGTGTCAGGTGGCCTTACACAGACAGAGCTGAGCTTGAATTCGCTGGGCTATATGTCAGGCAGGAGGTTGTGACCAGATGAAAACTTTTACATGCACAATGTCTGGGGCCATAGAAAGCTGTACTTTACCATTTGTGGGCCCCTGTAAGACATGAACTTCACCCATCCTTGGGCTGCCCACAAATACTTTACATTGAGAGAATTTGGATGAGACCACAGAGCTAGTCAGAGAAAAAAAATCAGTCAATAAATATACTTGCTACATCTATTCAGGAGAACTAGAATGCATAAAGACTTCTTCTTAGCCAAAAGCAGCCTCCATACACTAGGATGGGACATACATTAAGTTGGCATGCCCCCCAGGCTCAGTACACTTCTGCAGGGTATATGTGTCATTAAGATCACTTGCAATAAAACATGCATTTATTACGGCCATTAGAAACCAAACTGCATGCTTGAATTTGAGCAATTTCCCATATTTGTGTGTGTGTGTGCGTTATATGATGCCTATTTGCACAGTTTTAGACTGGGAAACATGATTAACAACTCCTTCAGGCCAATTTAGCTAGAGACTATTCAGGCCAAAGCTGATTTCAGATACACAGACACAAGTCTAGCACATCTATAGAGTTTTATTTCACTATAGAGACAAGCACTAAAGTGAAAATGGTGTTAGTTGTAGAACATTAAGGGCTCTTTTCCAACCTATTTAGTTGCTTTTCTGAAACAAGTACAGAATCTGAGATTTGGAGCATTCAGGCTGGAAAGTCAGGATCCAGTTTTGGCCTTTGTTTATCAGGGTAAAAGTGTCAAAAACCGTAGTGCATGGTTTTCCTCATGTCAGTGGGAAAACCATGACATCTTCAAAAAGGGGTGCATCAACAAACATTGTTGAGCTCTGCAGACAGCTCTGCCACATACCGAGGCAGCCCATTTTCAAGTGGGATGAACACAGACACAAAGAGGCAAATTCAGGACACTGATGTTAGAAAAGACTAAAATACTTGTGCCAGTTTTTCCTACCTTCTGTTTTGCATGTTCTTCTCTAGCATCTGTTCTTTGAATTGCACATTTGTTTGTGCAAGCTGACTATTTTACACACCTGAACAGCTCCAGAAAAACAAATGGAAAACTCTTTGTGCTTGGTAGCTAAGATGAAGTACTTAACGAACATGTTCCTTTCCAAATGAAATAAATGTTGAGCAGCACACTTATATTGGTTGCTTAGCAACAGGTTATCCTTTGGCTGTGCTGGGGACTGCACAGGTCCTCTGAGACTGCCATTACAGACCTGCTTGGAAATGTCAGATTTGGAAAGGATGCAAAAGTCAGTAATTCTATTTTTTGTGTGGTATCAAATAATTAAACCTCTCCTATTAAATTAGCCTGATCACAGAACTTAGTCCTCTTCTGGGGCTGCAAAGAACACAGACTTCAGTGGAAGTAGTATGGTTTCAGTCCTGCAGGGAATAGTAACAATGAGTATGGTTTGCCTTCTAATGAGGAATAAGGTTTTGCAGTTCCCACGTAGCACTTTCCATACATAGCTCTCAAGTGCTCTGCAGTGGGTACTATTTTTGACAGGAATACATTAGTTTACCCAGCAAAGCTACACCAGGAGGATGTCCAGCTACAGGTACACCAGTAAAGTCTTTAACAAAGGCATATCCCAGGCAGTGGGTGGCGTTATGATTTCCTATTCTTAAATGCCATGTACCAAACACTCCAGTGTGACTGCTGAAGGTCCTGATGGCTTGGATGGCCAGCTGGATTGCAGTGTCAGTGTTTAATTTATACACATTTATATAGTGCAACAGAAAAGGGACACACAGCTCCGATCTTAGAGCCAGCTAAATCAGCTCAAGGTGGCAGCAGTGCAGGCGTACTCATCATTAAACACTTAAGACATGTAGATTATTCATTTTGTTACTAAAAACCCTTTGCAGAAACAACTGTGGAAGCTGATGCTGCTCTGTGTCTTGAGTCAGTTTAGCCTTGCAGAGAAGTTGGGGTTTTTAGCTCAGATGACACTGAGCTGATGCAGGTGACATTGTGCTGATGCTCAAATGACACAGTGCTGATGCATCTCTGATGCTTCCAAGATCTAAGCTATTAACTTTGCATAGTGAAGCTTCATGGTTGCACAAGCTCAGGGTGATGCTGCTCACCATGTGGTCTCCTCTTAGAGCTGCCCCAGCCTCCCCAGTTGTGTCACTAAAATTGATAGTGTGAAGGTGTCCAAGCTTGCTGACGCCTTTGGCAGCTCTGCCCTGCTCTGCGAGTCCAGCCTAGCAAGGGTTCTGATGAATCACACAGTGGTGAAAGCAAATAGAAAGTCCTCTGCCAAATTCCTGACCATTACTGTGTTTTCTGCTGCCTCAGTTAAGCCCCAATAAATCCTCATTTATTTTCGGGTTTCTACAAAATATTATATTGTTGAAATTCAACTAGCATCCTAAGTCTAAAGAAAAATATATGGCTATCTTTCAAATAGCATAATTATTTTCTTAATACACTACAATTGCAAATCTGCAATTTACAATTGCCATGCATTTATCTTGCATAGAAATGTTCTATCAAAAATGTTAATTAAATAGATATTTTCTAAAATATGAGTATGAGAAAAATAAAACTTTAATTTTTTTCCCATGTGTAGACACAAACAAATAAAAAATACTCTATTTGAGCATGTTTCAGGCCAAGTGTCACTCCTGTGCAGTGGGAGCAACCAGACAGATAACAGCAGCAAAAACATGGGCCAAAAAGGACGGATGGAATGAAGCTTACAGATACTGATGTCAA